CCATTACTGCATGAGCTAGACACACAGAAACTTCTTTGGGTCAGAGCTTCCATAATTCATAGACCTTCTAGCAGGGAAAGCAAAGGAACAGGGAAAGAAAAAAGGATTAGAAAAGAAGTGGAGAGCCAAATAAAAAGGATATTCTTGGAGGACAAACTGGTTTATTCCCTGTTTCCTCACCTAAACCAAAGCAGTTCAATTATCCATTCTTTAATTTATTCATTCAGAAAGTGCCTGCTTTGTTCAACACACTAAAATGTGAACCAGGAAATGAATGAAAAATAGCGCCTGATTTCATACACAATTTAGGAGGCTGGTATATAAACAGTTGCCATAAAACATAACCCCCTAACTATCCTACATAAAATTGTAACCTACCCTCTATTGCACCTCTGATCTTCTTAAAATGCCCCCTTTTCCCTAGCACTTATCAGTTTTCTAACATTGCACTATAATTTACTGGGAAACTTTTTCCTTCTAGATTATAACCCCAGAAGGGTAGAAATTTCTCTTTTGTAGTAATGGTAGTACCTGGCATACAGTAATCCATCAATAAAAATATGATGAACCAATCAATCAATCAGTGCAAGTACTACTGGGTAGAATAAAAGAAAAGATGATAGAAAGCTTTTATTTATTGTTACTTGCTCTGTCATTATTCTTGGATTTATTTACTTTTTACTTATTTATTTACTGGCCCTGGGGATCAAACCCAGGGCTTTGTGCATTCAAGGTAAGCACTCTACCAACTGAGCTATCCCCAGCCCACTATTCTTGAATCTTACCTCAAATTATTGCTAACAAATTTCATCATTTCTAATATTGAATCCTAGCCCAATTTGGCAACTTGGTTTGGCCCTGGTTTTTGTTTTTCCTAGAAAGAAATGTAACACAAAAGTCAGGGACCTTTGGCACTATATGCTGCCAGACTGACTGACTGACAGCAGCACTTTGAATTATATGCTTAATACAAACCATATTTCTTGGCTCTTTTTGTTCTGTAAAGATGCTCCTCATGTTTTATGGACAAGAACCTTGTCTCACTTTATGATTCCTGGTCTATTCTTCCCAGAGTCAGTTTCTATATAGAAGAAAATTAAACTAGTATGTGAATTGGACAGGGCAATGAAGTCAACCTTAAAAATGATTTTGTTGGGCTGGATATGTAGCTTAGTGGTAGAGTGTTTGCCTAATGTGTGCAATGCTGGTTCAATAACAAGAAATGGGGGGAAATTTTTTTTTTCGCAGCTTATGCAACAACATAGAAACACAAAGAACCAACTCTGTTTCTAAATTACTTTGCCTTTTCTATCAAGTGTCTGCTAAAAAAGTCAAAAAGTATGAGGCAAACACGTTTCCCTTTACCAATAGAGCCATAGCTTCAAATAATAACACCATGAAAAGGGCTGGTTAAGGAGCTAGTGCAAAGAAGTACCAAAGTTTTTTGTTTTGGGGGAAAAGGGGGGGCTGTACTGGGGATTGAACCCAGGGGCGCTCAACCACTGAGCCACATCTCCAGCCCTTTTTATTTTTTATTTTGAGACAGGGTCTCACTAAGTTGCTTAGGGTCTTGTTAAATTGCTGAGGCTGGCTTTGAACTTGAGATCCTCCTGCCTCTGCCTCCTGAGCTGCTGGGATTACAGGCATATGCCACCATGCCCAGCCCAAGTTATTTTAACAACATTTTCATGGAGTCGTTAGAAATTTCTCAGTTGGAAATAAAAATGAAAATTCTGGACTGCGAATATAGCTCAGTTGGTAGAGTGCTTTCCTTGCATGCACAAGGCCGTGGGTTCAATCCCCAGCACACACAAAAACAAAAATTCCTTGTCTTTGTTCTTTTTCCCCTATAATCTGCAATGTCAGGGTATAAGATAAGAATGTATTCAGCCAGGCATGGTGGAACACACCAATAATCCCAGTGACTCAGGAGGCGAAGACAGGAGGAGTACAAGTTCAAAACCAGCCTCAACAGATTAGTGAGGCCCTCAGCATAAAGAAAGAACTAAATGAAGGAAATAGAAAGGAAAGGCAGCTCAATAGTAAAACAGGTTTATTTGGGACAAACCTGTGGAGGGGGGCCCAGTGGAGACTGAGACTCATCTTCCATTTATAGCCTTGGATAGATGTAGGGGTATGAGGGAGTGGGGGAATTTTGGGGGTTAGGCTGTTGCTAGGGGGTTTCCAGGGAAGGGTCCTTGTGGTCCTCAACTCTTATCTTTGAGGTGGTCACTGTTCCTGTCAAACCTGATATTTTTCAGGATATTAATCCCAGATAACAATTTCCTTTCTTTGTATGATGATGAAATATTGTTTGGGGTTCCTTTCTATGATGATGGAATATTGCCTGGGGTGACTCTTATTCTGAAAGGGAGGATGTGTTTCAAAATAGCGTTGTCTATGTCAAGTTCTTACTAACAATCAGCAACTTAGTGAGACCCTGTATCAAAAAATAAAAAGGTAGCTCAGTGGTAAATCAATCCCAGGTTCAATCCCCAGAACCCCCTCCCCTCAAAACAAAACAAAACAAAAAACACTACATTGAATTTCCACTGAACTACCAAGCTGCCTTACAAATTATGCTATCTATAGCTTTCCCCTTTATGGGCCAATCTTGCCTGAGCAGGTTCTGGGACTCAAAGAGGTTCTTGCCAGAGGGATCTGGGATACCTACACTATTGTTATATTTCAACCATGTGCCAAAGAATGAACTGCACTTCCATCAAGTGTAAGTCATTTTTTCCTTGCATGTGCCACCTCCAAAAATACTCTTGTATTTGAAAAAAAGTTTCCTGCCTTCTATACTTCTCTATAAAATACATATATACATATTTCTATCTATGTTTTCATAGTATCTTTTGATTCTGGTTTGTTTTTTTGTTGTTGTTGTTTTGTTTTGTTTTTTTGGTCTGTGTGTGTAGTGCTGGGGATTGAACCCAGGGATTTACTACTGAGCTACACTCCTAGCCTTTTTTTTTTTAGGTGTAGATGGACACAACACAATGTCTTTACTTTTTATGTGGTGCTGAGAATCGAACCCAAGTCCCACTTATGCGAGGCGAGCACTCTACGGCTGAGCCACCCAGCCCCCTTTTTGTTTTTAAGACAGTGACTTACTAAATTGTGGAGCCTGGCCTCTTTCTATTTTACAATCTTCTCACCCTAGTCCTCTCAGCAGCTGGGATTGCAAGCGTGTGTCAGCATGCTTATCCTTATTCACTTTTTAAACAGTCCCTGTTTAAAATTGGCTTGAAGAATTGCAAATGAGGGGGGCCAGGGTTATGGCTCAGAGCACAGTGCTTGCTTAGCATGGGTGAGGGTTCAATCCCCAGCACCACAAAAAAATAAACAAATAAAATAAAGGTATTGTGTCCATCTACAACTAAAAAAATATTTTAAAAATAAAAAAAAAAAAAGGAATAGCAAATAATGGGTTGGGGTTGTGGCTCAGTGGTAGAGTGCTTGCCTAGCATGTGTGAGGCACTGGCTTCAATTCTCAGCATCGCATATAAATAAATTAATAAAATAAAGGTCCATCAACATCTTAAAAAAAAAAAAAAAAAAGAATAACAAATGAATTCATTCTACAAACCTGTACAAACTTGAGCACTTACCAAGAAAAAAATAATGCTTTTGATGAACTGGCAGCTTTCACAGTAGTAGTCCAATTTCCAACATCTCTTCTAAACCATGAATGCAGAGACAACTCTAGTCTCTACATATAGTATTTAGTGATGACACAAATAAATTTTATCTTTGAGATTGTTGTATTTTATCTTATTTTTTTAAAAGAGGTGAATATTGAGCATCCCGGTTTTATTTTTTAAAAAATGTTATTGTACTTTTTATACACTAATTTTACTTGTTTTTATGTGGTCTTGAGGATCAAACACACATTAGGCAAGCCCTCTTCCACTGAGCTACAACCGCAGTCTTGAGATTGTTGTATTTTAAAAAAATCTGATGGACAGCCAGACAGCACTTGTAGCCAATCTACTCTAGAGTCGTCATCTAAGAATTGTGTGCTGGAGGTGAGAGAAATGGGGATAAGGCAGAATGATCAGATTGGAAAAGTGGACATTTTAATCATTTACTACAGGTAAAAAGTTTAAACATTTCTGAATCAATTTGCTTCTAAGAGTCTAAATACAAACTTTTATCTTTTTAATTTTTTTCTAATCACTCCCCCCCCACACACATACACACACACACCCCGATTACTTAATTTCTAAATATTGTAAAGATTCAAGCACAACATTTGCTTCAGTTCCACCTGCCATGAAAAGATCCTTAGCACGAGGTTACCTTTTTTGGCCTCCTACTCCGAAAGAACCTGAGAGGAGATTTCCTGCAGGCTTTTGTCATGGGACAGCCCTAGGTACTGCTCCCAGGGTAAACAAACATCCCAAGAACATTTTATTCTCCACTCTCAACACTAAATGGATGGGAATGGAATTGGTTTGTAGACGTTTTAGCTAAAACTCTCATTTTAGACATCCCAGCGCCTTCCTAAGAACATTCTGCAACTTACCCACAGGCATCCGAGAGGGCCTCTTTCCCAGGAATAAGGGAAAGACTTTCCTCTCGAAGCACCTGCAACCTTCAAGCTTCCCAAAACCTGGTTTAGGAGCAATCTCCTTCATCCGTAGCGTAGAGCTAGAAATGTACTTCTCCCAGGTGACACCACTAAGCCTTTGTTACGCCGGGTAGGGGTAGCGGGATGCGAAGTACTGACTGGGATCCTCCGATGCCGGCCTAAGGCTGAAGGATGGGTCCGGGCTACTCACCAGAAAAGCAGACAGGATACCCTGCAGAGCGTCCAACTTCTCTTCTTCCTCCTCCTCCTGCAGGACACCAAGGATGTAGGAACCGTAAACGGCTTGGTCCACTCCCAGCGCCTCCAACCGTCCGTCCAGCCAGGATCCAAAACCCCCACCCCCGCCATCACTTTCGCCGGAGGTTGCCGCGGCCACTTCGCAGGGCGCCGCCATCTTGGGGTCAGGGTCCTGCCAGCCCCCAGGGTGCCTACCGCAGTGCCTGACGGGCCGCGCCGCGGGCCCAGCGCGCATGCCCGGAGAGGAAGCCCACGCCTCCGCGCGCCGGGCTTGTGACCTGCTTCGGTATTTCTTACCTTCCTAGCAAAGCGCGTGTTCGGTTACACACTGTCAGTCAATCGCACAGGAACTCCGGCAGGTGAGTATCTTTAACAGACTCTTTTTCAACTGTGAATGTTCACAGAGGTTCAGTAACTTGGCCAAAGTCACGGGGCTAATAACAGGACTGGACCTGAACGTCGATTCCAGCGCTTCCTCCCATCTCACCGAGCTGCCCTTCCACGAGCCCTCGTAGGTCAAGCCACCCACTCTCCCATGGCTTTTGAGCAGGGACCTGCTGCTTCTACCGGGAATATCCACCATCGCTACCGACTCCTGCCACCTTCTCCACGCCAAGCCCCACTCCCTGAAAACATAAGCTCCAGAACCCTTTCTTAATTCCTTTCTGTCTGCGTTAAGAACTCTGCAGTGTGCTGCATTTATTTCAATACAGTCGTCGTGCTGTACTTATTGCAGGACCAACAAATAGTATGTGCTCAATAAATGTACAGGCACCTTAATTTTATTTCTTTTATTCATTGGTTCCACGTTTACACAGGAATACCTTTAGAGCTACTTTATCCTCCGCCAGGCATTGTGCTAAGATCTTTTCATACATTATCTCTTGTAATCCTCTCTACAACTCTGTGAGAAAATGCTTTTATTATCTGCACTTTGGGTTTTGGTTTGTTTCCCTCCTCCCCCATTTCTTTCGGAGGCAGGGGGTAACGGATTAAAACCCAGGGGTGCTTAACCACTAAGCCACATCTCCAGACCTTTTATGTTTTGACACAGGGTCTCACTAAATTGCTTAGGGCCTCGCTAAGTCGCTGAAGCTGGCAGACAAGTTTGCAATATCATACATGAATCCCTTAAGGTCAGGGCTTGATTTAGCGTTTTACCTGTGAAAAAAGAAGTCTTCGTTAACAAAAGGGAGGATTATTTTATTTATGACTTTTTCTTGGAGAGGGGGTGGGCACTTTATGAAAACGGGGATTCACCTTTTTTTTTTTTCCTTTATATGGACTGGTTATGGTCTGGGTAGAAAGCAGTTCTGACCAAAATGGTGTTGACAGACCTTTTGTAGTGCATTACAGAAGAATGGGAATGAGTTGGGGGGTGAGAGGGCAGAAACTGGTCTTGCCTGGTTCCAGTTTGTTCTTTTTTGGAGCCAGGTAGGTGGTTACCCAACTTGCTTATCTCTAGGACACAAAAAGCATGGCATATATATTGTGTGAGCCCATGAGAAAAATATGATTGTCATTCTGACGACAAGCAACTTGGTCCTTGTTTTGAGATGAGTAGGTTCTTGGAGAAAGAGAAAAAGAGGGGCTGGGGATGTGGCTCAAGCCGTATCGCACTTGCCTGGCATGCGTGGGGCCCAGGTTGGATCCTCAGCACCACATACAAACAAAGATGTTGCGTCCGCTGAAAACTAAAAATCAAATATTAAAAATCCTCTCTCTCTTTAAAAAAAAAAAAAAGAGAAAAACAGACGGTTAGTAGGTGGGGAGCCAGATCTAGAAGCATGACTTGTCCTTTTAGTTAGATGAACAAAACCTTCAACTTGTAACAGATCAACTAGAACAAAAATATAGTATTTATTTAAATGTCATTAGATTCAAAGATTTACACAATGTGTCCACGAATCATTTATGGGTAGACTGTTGATCAAAGAGGACTATTCTGAACCCCAAGTACAGAATGATTGTCGTGGAATTTTATTTTCAAGAAGCTTGTCCGAGAACCTGCACATTTGTTCCCTGAAAAGTCCTATGTATATAATCAGAGAGCTTAACCCTGAGCATGTCACCTGTCTTGTCTTCTCTAAGAAGAATAGAGTGCCCACACTCTTTGTGCACTCTTTTGTTGTGGCCTTCAATAAATCTTTGCTTGTGAGGTAACTGGTGTAGCTGTGAGGTCCTGGTTGGATCCCCAGCACCACCAAAAAGAAACAAAAATCTTTGCTTGTGGGGCTGGGACTGTGGCTCAGCGGTACAGCACTCACCTAACACGTGCGAGGCGCTGGGTTCGATCCTCAGCATCACATAAAAATAAATAAATAAATAAAAGATATAAAAATACAAAGAAGAAAATATTTAAAAAAAAAAAATCTTTGCTTGTGCTTCACTTTCTCAAATGTCCTGAAATTCTTCTCCAGAAGCCATCAAGAACCTGCCCAGGCCCAATTGAGATCCCCTTTCCTTTGGAGGGACTTCCTTGGACCCCTGTCAGGTGACAGTTTTACCATAGTTACTTATGGATTGATATTTATGAATGTTACAAATGCAAGTGTTGAAATACAGGATAGTTACATTCTATAAAACTGAACACACAGTAAAATGTACTGGAGCCATGCGCACACCTTTAATTGCAGCTGCCCTGGCGGCTGAGGCAGGAGCATCATGAGTTCAAAGCCAACCTCAGCAAAAGCAAGTTGCTAAGCAATTCAGTGAGACCCTGACTCTAAATAAAATACAAAATGGGGGTGCTGGGGATGTGGCTCAAGCAGTAGCGTGCTCGCCTGGCATGCGTGCGGCCCAGGTTCAATCCTCAGCACCACATACAAAGATTGTGTCCGCCAAAAACTAAAAAAATAAATATTAAAAATTCTCTCTCTCTCTCTCTCTCTCTCTCTCAAAAAAAAATCATTAAAAAAAAATACAAAATGGGGTGGGGATGTGACTCAGTGGTCAAGTGCCCCGAGTTCAATTCCTGGTTACCCCTCCAAAAAAGTAAAGTGTACTGGAGAAATCACAAAACAACTTATGTTTGGTGATGATACTAGCTTCATAGAATTAGTTGTATTGGAATGAGAGAATTCAGTTTTTAAAATTATGATAGAGCTTGACATGAAGTTGTTCAGCTGGCAGTAAAGGATGTTGCGAATGTTAGTCCCATGGCTTCTCTGTTTCTCTGAATAAGAATGGAACACTAATGAAGTCAGAGGATAGAAGCAACCCCCAAACACTTGCCTCTTTGTCATGTTCACAGATGTGCCTATTTATTTATTTATTTGGGGGCTGGTCATGGAATCCAGGACCTTGTGCATGTGAAGTACATTCTCTACCACTGAGTTACAGCCTCAGCTCCAGATAGTCCAGTCTTGCAGGTGTTGCTTATCAGTTTACAGACTTGGGACCCCCTGCCCCATGGCTCTAGGATGAGTTTGAGCTACACCTGTAATCCCAGCTACTCAAAAGGCTGAGGCAGGAGAATCATAGGCTGGAGGCCAGCCTGGGCAATTTAGCAAGACTGCCACAAAATAAAAATTTAAAAGGGATGGTGTTATAGCTTAGTAGTAAAGCCTCTGGGTTCAATCCCCAGAACCAAAAAAAAAAAAAAAGAGAGAGAGAGATGCTCAGGCTCAGGCTAGCTCCCTCTGAAGATGGCCCTGCGTTCTTTCTTTAACATGTTTTTCCTTTCTTTATCCCCATACTTTTCACCCTCAAGATGGCCAGCATTATCCCTTGAATGTGCATTTCTTTCTTCATCCAAAAGATTCCCTCCCCCACATTTATATATCCTCATTCTCCCTTGAATATGTATCTGCTTTCCAAATAAATCTGTCTCTGAAAAATTAAATATGCTCAATAACATTCATTTTTAAGAAGGTGAAAATTAGGGCTGGGGTAGAGTGCTTGCCTTGCACGTGTGAGGCACTGGGTTCGATCCTCAGCATCACATGAAAATAAATAAACAAAACCAAGGTAAAAAAAAAAAAAAAGAAGATGAAAATTAAAATTGCAACAAAATACCTTTTCTGCTCAGATCAAAAAGTCTGATAATAGGGCTGGAGATGTAGCTCAGTGGTAGAGCACTTTCCTCTTATACACAAAGACATGACTTTGGTCCAATGTACCACACACACACATACACACACAAAAGCCTGATTGTAACTGTGTTGACCTGTGATAGGGTAACAGACACTGGTAAGTGTTGGAGCAGGAAATAAATTGGTACTCTTTTTGAGGAGTTATTTTAAAGACCCAGCATTTCTATTTTGAGGAATGTATTATAAGACATACATATGTGCAGAGTGACATAAGGGTATTCATTGCAGTGAAGCTCCTTGTGGTAAAAGGACCAAAATAGTCTATATTCTATATATAGGAGATGGGTTCATAAAAGCCTGGTACAGCCATGCAAAATATTATGCAGCTATAAAATGAATGGGGGAGGGCTGGGGTTGTGGCCCAGTGGCAGAACACTTGCCTAGCACGAGTGAGGCACTGGATTTGATCCTCAGCACCACATACAAAAAATAAGCAAGTAAAATAAAGGCATGCTGACCATCTACAACTACAAAAATAAAATTTAAAAAGATGAATGAGGGAGGGATGGAGATGTAGCTGGGTAATATAGGGTTGCTGAGTGTGTGTGAGGTCATGGATTCAATCCCCAGCACCACAGAAAAGAAAAATAACAAAAAACTACTTAATGTAGCCATGTGTAGTGGAGGTTAATGTCAGAGGATCATCATTCAATCCAGGGGTTGAAGATCATCCTAGGCAGCACAGCAACACCTTGTCTCAAAAAACAAACAGCTTTTTATGTACTGACATATAACAAAATTCAAGATATAGTGTTATAAAAGTGAAGCTCAAAACAGGGTGTAATGGTGTTGCTACCATTTGTGTTTTTTGTTTTTTTTTTAAGAGAGAGAATTTTAATATTTATTTTTTAGTTTTTGGCGGACACAACATCTTTGTTTGTATGTGGTGCTGAGGATCGAACCCGGGCCGCACGAATGCCAGGCGAGCCCGCTACCGCTTGAGCCACATCCCCAGCCCCACCATTTGTGTTTAAAAGAAATGTGGAATAGGAGGATGCATATCTTTATCTGTCCTTGCATGTGCATAGAGTGTGTAAGAAGATACACAGAGATATAAGGATGTCACTGAGGAGAGCTAGTTTTGAACTAGTTACATTTAGTTATACCTTTTTTTCTTTTTTTCTTTAAGGGAAACATTTGAAGGGTTGGGGATATAGCTCAATAGGAGAGCATGTACTTAGCATACCCAAGGCCCTGGGTTCAGTCCCCAGCAACAAAAACACCTGTTTGAGCTGGGCTCAGTGGCACACACCTGTAAATCCCAGTGACTGAGAGACTGAGGCAGGAGGAACATAAGTTCAAGGCCAGCCTCAGCAACTTAGCAAGATGTTTCTCAAAAAGTAAAAGGGCTGGGGATGTGGTTCAGTGGTTAAGATCCCCTGGTTTCAATCCACAGTACTAAAATAAAATAAAACACCTATTTGAAACCCTCCAATATTCCTGAAATTGGTATTTATCTTCCTCTTGAAAGGTTTTAAACATAGTACACTATTAATACATATGTGTGTATCCATAAACAATATATCACATTGTCTTATATGTTGTACTTTTGATTCAGCATTGGCTGTCTTCACTTAAAATTGTTTTAAAATATTTACCCATATTGATACATGTAGCTCTTATCCACTCAAACCACTGTATTCTATTGTTTGAATATAACCTAGTTTATCCATTCTTTTTATGAAC